ACCAGATCCTATGATCTGGTATAGGCTGGGGACCGTCTGACTAAGCAGCAGCTCTTCAGAAAAGGACCTGGCATTACAGAATACTGTAACCTGGATATTAGTCAACAGCATGCCCTGGCTGTGAAGAAGGCTAACACCATACTGGGCTGCATTAGGAGGAGCCCTGCCAGCAGATCAAAGGAAGTGATTCTTCCCCTCTATTTGGCACTGGTGAAGCCACATCTGAAGTTCTGTGTCCAGTTTTGGGCCCCCCACTACAGAAAGGATATGGACAAATTGGAGAAAGTGCAACAGAGGACAACAAAAATGGTTAAGGGGCTGGGGCACATGACTTATGAGGAAGGGCTGAGGGAACTAGGTTTATTTAGTCTGAAGTAAAGAAGACTGAAGGGGGAATTAACAGCACCTTTCAACTACCTAAAGGGTAGTTCCAAAAAGGATGGAACTAGATTGTTCTCAGTGGTGGCAGATGACAGAACAAGGAGCAATGGTCTCAAGTTGCAGCAAGGGAAGTTTAGGTTAAATATTAGGAAAAACTTTGTCACTAGGAGGGTAGTAAAGCACTGGAAGAAGCTACCCAGAGAGGTTGTGGGTACCCATTCTCCTTCCTTGGAGGTTTTTAAGACCTGGCTAGACAAAGCCTTGTCTGGGATGATATAGTTGGGGATGGTTCTGCTTTGAGCAGGGGGTTGGATTAGATGATCTCCTGAGGTCCCTTCCAACCCTAACTTTCTGTGATTCTGTTATAGAGTTAGGCAAGCTTTTGGGTATCAAAGTGCCCCTCCTCAGGACCCTGAGAAAGAAACAGGCACTTTGGAGCTAAACAGCAGATGCAACAAAGGCTTGTGTAAAACTTCATATCTAAACAAAAACAGAAGAGAAGAGAAATTATCAGGTAGCCAACAGACTACAAAGGTATAACAGAAACCTGATGACTGGAAAGCAGGATCTCCTTCAGGGGGGTCCTTTTAACCTCTGAAGTACAGAGGTTAGCAAGTATCCGGTTGATTATAATGGACCATAAAGTTACTGTATATAAGTCCCTGGTTCTTGGTATCCAATAAGCTAATGAATTTTTGTTTGTAGGCTTGTCTCTTGAAATTATTTTCCAAATTTCCCTTAAGCACAAGGAGAAAGAGAGTGATTATTCTGTGAAACATGGTCTACCTATGTTCTAGTGTCTCTGTTAGTGTGGGAGTTAATGAGAGTTAGTGGAAGGGTAGCTAACACAGGAGTCAGTGTGAAGTAACACATTCTAGCTTACTTGGTGGTAACACAGCTGGGTGCCCAAGCCAAATGGAGGAGAGGGGGTGGAAATCAAATAGGTCTAGAGAACAAGATGATAAATGTATTTTTATGCAGCAAGGAAACTATCAAAAACAAAAGTAATCCAAGGCACAGGTATTCTTTCTTTCTTTAAACATTTTAATAAATATTAAACACTCTGTGGTTTCCATGTCTACTTTACAAGCCATAATTGGAGGAACACTCAAAAGTAGATATTCCAAACTCATTACAGGTTTCAATATAATCAACATAAAGTCCATTTCATTTGCATGGATAAACACACTCATTTAACTATTAAAATTAAATAAGTTAAAATATTAAAATTGTACTTGGAATGTCAGAAAGCAGGTCTGATAATTATACATTCAAAGTATTTTATAACTTAGAATTTGTATTCTAGAAGGGTGAAAATATTTTCACCATGTTTTTGTCCAATCTTCCTCACTAGAACCAAAAGAAAATATCTTCAATTCAATGTAATATTTACCCTGTACAGCTTTCAAAGTATATAGATATTGGCTGTATTAGCATCTCTATCCAGTATTCGGACTTCAAAAAGACATCATTGTTTTCTTCTTTAAACAATAATAACTTAGAAGTAGACCATGAAAACCAGACCATCCTATTTTGCAAATGTTTGTTTTTTCTATCCAAGTGTTCCAAAGACCACCGAATACTTTAAGTAGTATTTTTCTTAAGGACAATGTTGACCAACTCTTGCAGTAGGAGTGGTTTCTCTCTCCTTCAACCACAAGGAAATTCAAAGCTAAAATCAGGCAGCCCTAGCATAATAAAATAGTAGCATGCAGCCAGGCAACCAGAGACAGCCCTTTAATTATAAATAATTACAATATAACCTATCTCTGTATTAAAGAAATGATACATGAAGTTAAAAAGTCCAGGTCACTTAAATCTCTTTATTGCTAAGAACCATGCAGACATTAACTGATCAACAGGGAGTCTTATAAAAAGATCTGAGAAGTAGTTGGCTGTTAGCCTGATGTGAGACAGAAGCCAGGGCAGGGTGGCACTTTAGAGACATTAACTGATTCAGAGAGGCATACATTTTCATAGGCAACAGAATACTTTGTTAGATGCTATCACCTAATAAAGTTTATGCCTCTGATGTTGTAATCTGATAATGAAGGCTACAACTAAAAGAAGGTAGGAGTTTATCCAGAGGGAAACAAAATCCAGCAGCAAGAAGACACATTTGCTGATTCCATTGGCTTTACCTACTGCAGCTCTTGGCATTAAATCCCCACCTGACACAGAGGTACTGAATGCTCCAGATAGAAATCATCATTTTCTGAGACTTGCCATGATAAGGAAACAAAAATGCAGCTGAGTCTCCAATTATTTAAAGTAGGAAAAACATCAGGTATTCAGAAAGGGCCATGAGACCAAGTCTTGAAGTACATTCTTGAATACAGTTTTGTTGTTTTGTTTTTTTAATCGGCAAGTGCTCACCCACATTTGAAAGAAACAGTATTGACAAATTCTCCTTCAGTAGACTTTTGCCACACAGACTGCAGGATTGTCCTTTCAAGCCTCAAAGCCCTCATTTTAAGCAGAAAAACTCAAACTCTGACTACTCCCTGGAGACAGCTATAATCTTGCTGTACATAAGCGGAAATGTTACATTCTTTACTCAAGCAAAATTCCCAATAAGTAAGGGTTGCAGAACGTGGTCTGCTGAATTTATGCAATGAACTTACTACTTACCTTTCCAGGCTCCCATAATAGCTTGCTCTTTCCTCAAGGTCAAATATCTGGCAGGTCTTCAACTCATCTTTTCAGAAGCATAAATAGGCTCTGCAAAGCAGAACAATACCTGCATGCCTCACTCTTAATTTCACTCTTATTTTAACAACCTCTCTTGACACAATCCGCTCCCAACCCCTACATATGCAGCTTACATTTTTAAGTAACTTCTCCAATTATAAATATTATCTAAACGGAGGAAATGTATAAATATTAACATAATAAATGTAAATAAGAATAGAAAGAGATTATAAGTACCTAAAGACTACCTATTTGTGATCCATCACAGTTGACCACAGGTTGCAAGATTATTTAAATTAAGAAAAATAATGGCTTCTCTATAGAATACATGATGGGGAAGAAAAAAAAGCAAGCAAAGAACTTAAAATGTTTGAACTAATTCTTCCATAAAAAAGACTCCAATCTATCCTCTTTTCCTGTAACCTCCAACATGAAGGTCACTGTTTTCCTGGGAGGACAAGGAATTTTAATCTGGTGCACTGATTAGATACAAGTATTACTTAAAATTACTTTTTGAAACTAAATGATTTATTTTAAAAGGTTATTATGCAATTCTTCTTCAAAAAGGCAGACCAGGCAAAAATGGGACTAATCAACAATTCTTCTCCTTCGACTTTCCTACACCTTTTAGGTTTACATAATCAAAAAGAACTGTATGAGCAAGCTGGATTTTTTTAGTTTGTGCATCACCTCAAATTTGTGAAGCAAGGCCCCAATTTCTTACCCCCATTAAAGAGCCTTTAGTAATGAGTAATAAATCTGAGAGTCCCTTCTCCCCCAATTATAAATATTATCTAAAGAAGTAACTTTAGATTACCCAGCTCCAAACAGGCAGACAGGTTTTTCACCATACACTCAAGTTGGGTAGTAGAAAACATATGCGCTTCTGCTAACATTGTTTTCTTAGTTTCCTATTCCCCGTGGCCATGCTGCAAGACAAGAGATTGCATGGGTGGTAAAAGGGAAACAATTTAATTATCACGAGTCAGACCAATGCATCTTATTTCCAAATGGATGAAGACTAGCATCCAGATGGCATAGATTAGATTTGTAAACTGCGCACCCACAATTGGAATCCATGGCAGGCACGAGTTCTTCTTCATTAAAAAAGGAAGAGAAAGGGTTCATTCAGCTTCTAAGGCCAACAGGAACAGGAAGCAAAACCAGCTCAGATTTGTAAGGGATGAACAGGAGGAAAACTCCACCAAAGAGAAGGGCTGACTGGCAAATTCAGGATTTTTTTGGTGGTCAAAAGGGCCTGGCCCACAACACGACATTTGAAGAGGATGGGGGGTGGACTTCTGCAGGCATTCACCCCTCCCAGTACCTAAATTCATACCAAAGAAGATGCATAAAACAAGCCCCTGCAGTACTCTTAGCAAGGCGTGTTGCTGGGGGCGAGGAAGCCAGAGGCTCCCACTGATGGAGCTGAGAATGCGTCCATGCGATCCTGAAACGTTTCTATGGGCCCGTGAAACTGCGCTGCCCTTGGTCACCAACCACTGGCAGAGCCTGCCAGGCCCCTCTCCCAGCACCATACCTACACTCCTGGCAGCCCTCAGCAAGTGTTTAGTATCAGGCCTCCCTTTGCCAGAGATAATGATAATAATCATCAGACGATGGGGAAAAAATTAACATTTTCGGGCCCCCTTCGGGCCTGCCCTGCCCTGCCCTCTCCCCATGTCATCGAAACTCCCCTCGACCCGCTGCCAGGAGAGATGCGAGGTCCCGAGCAGAGCACGGCCCGACCAGGAGAGACCGCTGAGCCTTCACCAAGCGCCCCGAGGGCAGGGCAGGGCAGGGCAGGGCAGGGCGGGACGGGACGGGACGGCGGCCCCCGCCGGGCTCAGTGGCTGCAGGCCGGTGGCCACCGTCGGACACGTGGCGACCGCTGCTCACTTGTGTGGCGCCGCTCGCCCGCCCGCCCGCCCGCGGAGGAGGGAGCACCGAGCTGCCGGGCCCTACCCCGCGAGGAAACGCCTGCAGAAGTATGAGCCGCTCCAGCCGCCGTCGTTTCCGCGTAACCCGTCACCACCGCCAGCTGGGCAGCGCCCGGGCCCCGCGCCCCCTGCATGGTGTCCTCCCTGGACGCCGCCGCCTTCCTCCTCCTCCTGCTGCTGCTCCTGCTTCGGCTCACCAGGCAGACCGCCGCGGGCCGGCGCAGGCGGCTCACAGCCCCCGTCAGCCTCCTGGTCGTGGCTGGCTCTGGTGAGTGGCGGAGGGAAGCGGGCATCGAGCGGCCTTGGCGCCGCGAACTACAACTCCCATGGTGCAGCGCGCCCCGGGGCACGCTGGGAAGTTTGGGCAGGCGGGGAGCAGGTGCCTGCGGCAGGTTAGCGCCTCGTCGCGGTGCATGCTGGGCGCCTCAGCCCCTATTGCCGCGCAGCAGCGTTGCCAGGGGGACGATGTTTGTGCCATTGCTTCAATCCGTGTGCGATGCACCATCAATAGGAGTGACATCGTCCAAAATGTACCGGGGTGCTGGTGGTAGTGCTAGCTAAGGACACAGGCAGGCAAGGTCCTTTGGGGAAATGTGAGTGATCTCTTTTATTAGACCAACTAACTAGTTAGGAAAATTGTCCTGACCCTAGACTGGAGACTCTCTGCCTGATGAAGTGTTTGTACCCGGAAGCTGGCAGAAAACAAGTTTTCCAACTAGTTAGTTGGTATAATAAAAGAGATTGCATTTACCCAAATGTATGATAATTTTGGAGGCAGCTAATTGATGCAGCATATGTAAAACCCAAGTCACTCTCAGGGAGTCTTAACTAACTTTTGGGATTGCTGTTTACTTTCTTACGACTGCTTGCCTCAAAATAAAAGAAATGCTTCAACTTTGATGACCCAGGTCTTACTCACTCACTGGTGTCCTGCAGTGAGCAATATACAGGCAGTCCTCGACTTACGACTTTTCGACAAACAGCACTTGTGACCGTTAGAAATTAACACCCTGTTTTGAGATTCTGACGCAGGTTTGGACTTTGACGCCAGATACTGCTGCGTCCAGCTAGTAAGTCTGTTATGGTGGAAGGGGAGGGAGGAAGGAAGGCGTACGGTGGGGGGCAGATCAATGCCCCCATGATGAGGGAGGGAGGGGCAAGGACAGGGACTGGGGCAAGCACTGCCCAGCCTGGATGAGGGGCACAAGGGGCAGTGCTGTAGCTTGTCCGGTGGGGGGGAGGGGGCTCCTGCCACTGGTCTGGAGCTGCTCATCTGGCAGCTCATCCAGCTGCTCCCATCACTCGTCCAGGAGGGGCATGTGCCCCCAGATCTGCGTGGGGTGGGGTGGGGTGGGCGTGGCTGCACCTGGTGCACTCTCGGTGGGTGGCAGCAGCGCTGGGAGTTGGGACTAGGCCATGCCCCCACTTGCCCAGCTGGGGAAGGGCAGCCACAGGATGGAGCGGTGCACAGCAGCGGGAGCCACCCCTCGCACCCCACAGATAAGTAGCGGCTCCGTCCCATGCCCACCCTGGCCCAGCTAGGCAAGTGGCAGGAGGGCACGAGGGAGAGGGAGGTGTGCCTTTGGGATGGGGCAGACAGCAGAGTGGGGGCTATGGGGGGTACAGCCACCCACTTCGCTGTAGCTCCCGCATATCCCCCGTCACACACCTGGAGTGCAGCCCGGTACCACAGCCCAGTACTGCAGCCT